CTTCTAAATTAATCACCTCAAAATACTGATTTTTTGTTTCCTACATGCCCCCCCCCCAACCCAACAAATCCATGTTTTTGTCATGTTTAGTTTTTTGTCAGTACATTAATAATCTAGGGGCTGGTCTCTTATATTAATAGAATACAGCATCTTTTTTTCTTTTCCTTTTTTTACACCTCACTGCTGTCTTGTTTTCTATCTACATTGTAATTTAAATGCATCAGCACCGTTACGTTTTATATTCACTTTAAAAATTCTGAAACAGCCATTGTTTCATGATAACGATGATGTGAACTTGACTAAATGTTTGTGGAACTATGGATGGTGTGAGCATTTTTAATTTTTTTTTAAGGAACCTATTCCTGAAGGAAACCTGACTTGAGTGAAAGGAGCATCCTAAAGCTGGCTTTCTTTGACTTGTGAAACAGAAAAGCAAATACTTCCATGTTCTGATTTTATTTGCTTTTTGTTTGTGGAAAGACTTTCACTCTAAATATATATTTTATAAGTGCAGTAGCTATGCTTCTTTAAAGAGAAAATATATCTAATTTATTCCGTGCTGGCTGTTTTTTTTTTTTTAACCGAATCCTGTAATTGTAATCTTGTCTCCTAACTGTACTGATGACAACAATGTGATTTGGCCTCCTTCATTTGCTGATTCGTTAACCCGTTCCACCTGTGAGACTCCTGCTCTGGGACCAGTCTGACATCAGAGCAGCCCCTTCATTGTGGAAGCTGCTTTGTCCAATTATTTGTAACATCGCTGCATTTCATTGTTGTGATAACTCGTTGCATCTCAGAGTATTTAGAGCAGGTTCAACGACGTTAACGTTCATTGACTCATTTTGTTATACAAGCTCTGTATCATTTTTTTTTCTCAAGACAATATTTCTTCTGGCAAGAATATTGATATTGACAATAATGTTGATACTTGAGGAAACTGACATCTTTTAACTATTTTAATGCTTCAAATTTTTATCTGTCGAGCCTAAACTCCGTGTTAGCCTCAGAGTTTTGCAGCTGTTACTACACTAGGGACTATTTCTCAGGTGGAAAATAAAGGGTTAACTGTCTCATAATGTTTGAGGCAGTGTTTTTAAAATTGTGAAATAATTTCATACACTATGAATGACTGCAGAATGCTGTGCATGATTAATAATGTATGTATATATACACCATCTGAATGTACATATCACTTGTATGTTCACGACTTGTTCATGTCTTTTTCTGACCGAATGGGTTTTTTTAACGGGACAAAAAGGCTCCATACTGTCCAACCAATAAATGTCAGTGTTCATTATGACTATACTGCTTCATTTGTGGATGAGAAAATGTCTGTTGTAGCTGCACATACCGAGGAGGTAATTACATTTTTTGAAATTATAATTTCCTCATTTGTGTATTTACGGTGATCCGGGGTGCGCGACTGATTTTACAGTCATTTTAATGGAAAAGAGGGTGATTTTTGCTAAAAGTTCTCATATTTATGTTTTGTTTTTCAGCTGAAGCAGTGTTCTGTAAGCACTCAACATTTTAACTTAATTGTAGCGAACTGAGTCACAGCTGTTCAGTTACATTGTTTTTCTCATTTATTCTGTAAAACACACACTGGCACAGATCGCTTCAAAGAGATGTTAGCAACCAGATTGATGAATTTACCATTGTTGATTGTTGAACTAGATCTTCAGCTAGAATTATTAAGCCATAATAACTCTTGAAGTGTAGTTTAAGTGCTCAGCAAGTGGTCATAGAGAAATCTGTTGTGAATTTTCTGACATGCTTCTGTCTTGTTTGTACGAAAATGTTCGTTGCATTTGTGTTATGATGCAGACAGATTTGTTCTGAAACTGCTATGCAGCTAATGTACTTTAAATGTATATCCTTTTGAACATATATTTTTTCTGCATATCCCCTTTTGTTTTAAGCGTAAAGTAGTCTTTATGTTATTTATGATGCTTGTTTAAAAAAAAATGTATTCTTGGATTGAAGCATAAAGTTGATGTTGTGCCTTTTGTGAAAAAGCAAATCTCTTCTGTCAGTAAAGATCAAAGACTTGACTTTTTTTACAGGGACAAAAGTAACAAATTTAGCTTTTTACTACTATCTTGGTTATTTGGGTTTCTGTGTGTGATAGTCAGGCTGAATGTTTACTAGAACAGTGGTTTCCATTGATTTCTTTCACATCTCAGTTACCATCTTGTGTGTTTTAGTGTCCGCATATTCTGAKCAGTAAATATATGTTGCATTTCATGCACTATGATCTACAAAATCCTRCTAAACAAAGCTTAAGAGTAATGGTTTAGTAGATTATTCCACTGAAGAAGTAGACCAGGACTAGTGCTATGCTGATTCTTATAAAATACAGTAACATACATCTCATCTGCATTATTATGTCACATTAAATGTCTCTTCCAGTCCCTTCCTGTAAAATTTAACAAGCCAGTAATAATAATTGTGACTTCACATCAAACCAAGTCAAACCACTGTTCTAGTAAAAAGCCATTAGAAGGAAAATTTTAGCTTCTTGTTTCTAACCGACTGAGCAATTGTCAAATAATTAACTTACAAGGGGGAGAATTCAGTACTTTTTTATTTTCTTGCTGTTCTTTTTGTAAACTTGCTGCAATCTATAATTAAATAAATATTCTTCAAACATTGATTTTTGCTTCATGCAGCTTTGTTTTAGAAAGAAGATGCACATTCATTTAATTTAACTCATTAAATCATTCATTTAATTATAAACTGTAGTCTAAGACAAGTTAAATGTGATTAGTTTACCTCAGAGATGTTGGAACGTAATTAAAGAATATTCTCTTTCATTGCACAAGCAGCATGTTAATTGACCCAGTAGAAAACAATGTCATAAACTACCATCTGGTTTCAACATATAGCCACCTTTTTTGGAATATAGTCCAGTTTATTGTATCTATGCCCCAGTTTTTACAAATACAGTTTATTATCTTATAAAGGGCTCACTAAAGTAATAAAGGGAAGACACGAGCTATGGAATTGTTAAGTGCATTGCTAGAGAACTGTGCGATGAGAAAAAAATCTYACCTGAACACTCCATCTTTGATTATCGTTCAACAGGTTTTTAGATTCTTTTTAATTCTAGTAAGCGCTGTTATTACAGCTTCTTTTCAGTTTGACTTTATTTCCCCCTTGTGCACAATAAAAGAACTGCAACAGCAAATTGAGTCTGACACCGTTGTGCGATTTAACTTCCATCCTGAAACACTCAAATATTTTACAGTTGTCCATTTCACTTTTGACTGACAATTTCTATATTTACTCTATTTTAAATGTGATTCTTATAATTACAATTGACACGTGATACCTGATGTTTAATCAACAGTATTATACTAATGCTTCCTGTGGAAAACCTTCAAGATAAAAGTAACTTTTACATATTTATTTAAAGTTTGAAATCATTTACTGAATTGCATTTTAAATGTCAATCAAAATGTCGGGRAGTTAACCAGTTGGAGCTGCGCTTTCCGACAGTCCTGTAAACGCACCATCAATTCGGCGTTTTGCTGCGCATGCGTTCTTCGCCCTTTCCGAGCGCTGCATCAAGAACATGGCTGACCTGACGGCGGAGGACGGAGGGAAACTGAGCAAAAAGTGAGCTCTTTCATTATATGCATTGCCTTTTTAACACTTACTAGCCCTGTTTAAAGTTGTCCTTTATTGGGTAGTGTTGGCTTTTCGACAATAATAATCGTTTTATTTAGGTTACTCWAACCGTCGTGTCAGAATGAAAGCGGAGTTAAGGTCCCATATGTAGCCACGCTACCAGCATCCCGGAATTCCTTGCGCTTTTCATTCTGGTAGTTGTAGTCCCACACTGCAGCTGAGACACGTATCCGTATATATTTTTTCGAACAGGAAAAACTACAAGACTTACATTCTCTTGCATCAGCACGTATGTTTCGTTTTGACAGATTATCAAATCGAAAGAATACGTTTGGCATGTTTTTTTTTTTTTTTTGTTGTCACTGAATAACTTATCACTATCTAAAATAATATGTGCTTTAACTGGTCAAAATGCCTTAACTGCTTATAAATATATGCTTTCCTTAGTAGCTAACTATAAAGTTAATTTGAACCCTTTAATAGTTGTCATTAGTTGCCATTATCATTACAATTATTATCATCATAATTACATATTAACTTGACCTTCTCATGTATTGCAACCAGGACAGATTCCTGTACATTTGGCAGAATAAATGAGATGGATTACTTCAGCTTTTGTTTTTATGTTTATCTGATGTGCAATTTGTTCTGTGGCACTAACTAGCATTGCAGTCCTGATCAACATTTTAAGACAAATTGAAAAATGGCAAGAATTTACATTTTGCATTGTTGGATTTTTACAAAGKTTCAAAGTAGATCTTCGAAATGCAAAAAGAAGAGATGGAAGTGAGACCTAAATAAATAAACAAATAATGATTGAGTAAGCATTTTATTGCAAACACACATTAAGCTCAAATAAGCTGGTCATCGGCTGAACAAGTTTAAGACCAATATTTAAAAACCAAAATTTTTGCAAAAATGTCATTTTTTTGCCACGTATCCACAGTGTTATGATCCGGGGTCAGTTTTATTAAAAGATTGCGTGGAAACCATACTAACAGTGAACGTACGGCCAAAAGGCGGAAATGGCGTACGCCAAAAAAAAMMCCTGATTTATAAAACCTTGTGTACGCATGTTTCTGCGYATCTTTCCTTTTTAGATCACAGCTGCACATCAAGAGTTTGCGCACGAGGTCCCGCCTCAGGTTCTACCCTCTATACGCCCACATTCAACCATAAACAGTCAATGTAAAGCACCTCATGAATGTTAAGATGTATTTAAATCAGTCAGCTGATCAATGCCAAAAAAAAGCGATTGGCTCAGACGCACTCCGTCGTGCGTCTGTATGACAGGTGCTGACAGCTGCTTACGTGAACAGATTGTCTGTAATTGACGCAGATTTCCCCTCATTTTGCTTTACGATTTTTATCAAAAGCTCAGCTTCAAATAAATTTTCTCTCAGAGCCTGCAGGACGATAAAAACAATAAAAATAAAATTAAATAAGTCAGATAAAATTAGAAATAAGTTCACCGCTCTTCTCCCCATCCTCTCCCCCTCCTGCCTGCTCTGTTATCTGCGGCAGACCACCCCCCCCCCCCACACACACACACACACACACCCGCATGACAAATACGGACTTTAAAAAGTGAACTTTTATAACATCTACACTGGCGAGGGTGGGCGCACCCTGTGAATACCCAAAGCATGACTTTTGCTGTTGTGCTGTTTGTCAGGGAGGGGTCTGTGGGTCAGGGTCGTCTGAGGAGGAAGGAGATGAATGGAATTGCGTGAACTTTTATTTAAGATTTTAAGTTTTTTTTATTTCAAAGGTCCTTAGGGCTCAGAAGCATAAWYATTACTGTTAATAAAGCTTCTGATAAAGCTGAATAAAAATCTAAGTTTGATTATGAAGTGAAATTAAATCTCTGACAGTGATCATTACACAGTGTGGCTCTAATGCCTCACTTCACCATCTGTGTCGCAGCTTCCCATCTCCAAAATGAGCGTATGCATGGGTCAAAGAGGGACCACACATTTTCACGTAAAGTTTGGATTTTACAAATCACAACCTTGGCGTGAAAAGTGACGTACGCAGGTTTCTGGGCTCATTTTGTGTGTACGCAAGCTTTATAATTCTGACCCCTGCTCCTGTTGACAAAGGCAAAAAGATGGTTGGATTGTTGAGCTGCATAAGCAAGGCCTCTTGCAGCGTGCCGTCGCTGCTGAGGTTGGATGCAGTAAGACAGTCATTTTAAACTTCTTAAATGATCCTGAGGGCTATGGAACAAAAAAGTCAAGTGGTAGACACCCCCACAAAAATTAACCGGCCCTGAGCCGAAGGATTTAACTGGCTTCCCATCAAGACACAGATGATCCTTGGCCCAAATTAAGGTCGTCACTGGTGCCATCTGCRGTCCCACAACCATCAGACTGCATCTGCGAGAGAAGGGCTTATGAACTAAAAAAAAAAACATCTTCAAAGCCTCCTTTCCTTTATTGCCGCAAAAGTGCCCATATTGAGTTTGCACAAGATTACTAAACATTGAAAGACTGAAGAACATTTTCAGTTCACTTCAGAAATACTTTTTTAATCACAAAGGGAAATTAAATGCCTTTCTGGTTTCTTTGAATTTATATACTGTAGATACTGATGGCTGTGGACAGGATGGATCTCCTGTAGTGGATGGTTTAAAGCTAGATTTATGCTCGACGCATCGCATAGGGCGCGAAGATGCGCACGCCAAAAGTGACAATGGACGCAAAGCTTTTCTTGCTGAACGTATCCGGATGTACCAATATTTATATGATCCCTCTATGAGAGATGATAAAGATGTTCAAATGGCACAGAACGTTTGGAAGCAGATCGCTGAAATTGCAGAAAGATGAATCTGTGTGTAGAAAGGCTTGGAAGAATGAATTGCATGTTCTGGTAATATATTAAGTAAATTTACTTATCTGRAAAATAAACCTAAAAAATATATTACTCTTTTGATCAGTGCTAATAAAAAGAACTTGATTTTTAATAACAAAATTAAAATTTTGGGATTTTCCCTGTGAGACAGCAAAGCTTTCTTTTGATTCATGATGGGAATTATATTTATGACTCCATTTGAGGTTTCCAATTTATAATAACATTGATGTTCTTCTTACGCTTATAAAAAAGACTGTTTCATACCTAATTTTAAAGAGTGAAACTGTTAATGACTTTGAGAATAAGACAATATGCAAACAAAACTGAGAAGGAATGTTGCAGTGGTTATTTCAATGTAGATTCATTTTATTTTACATAATTAAAATAGACTTGAAAACTAAAGGTTCAAGGCCAAAACAGGAGGCAGCAAGGGCAAATGTGGCAGCTCCATAGTTAGCAAAAAAAAATTTAAAATAAGAACATGAATGAATAAAATATAAACAAAATAGGTGTTTTTTGTCTCACTCCCAATTTTGCATTTCAAATCTATAGTTAGAACCTTCTTATGAACAGTGAATGTGAATACTTGCCATTTTACAACTGGTCCTAAAATGTTGATCAGGATTGTATATACAGCATTCATTTTGTGTGTTGGGAGACAGCCCTTGACGCTCCTCTTTGTCTTGGATGTGATACTTGTGTGTTCTCAGGTGTGTCTGGTTCCTGTAGTTCAGCATGCTGTGTCTGGTCAGGGCAGCCAGGCGGCAGCTGTGCCAGGCCTTCACCATCAGGGGACAGTGGTTAAAATATGCACCCCCATGTACAGCTGCAGTGCCAACTCAGATTTTTGGGATCAATTGGAGAAGTGGCAAAAGGTTGGTGGCTTTTTCATTCCTGTGTGAAAAACAACCAACCTTTTGTCATCAAAATAGGATTAAACCTTGTTAACCATACATAGATTTATCATTTTACCACAGTGGAGCTATTTATTAGATGTGATTGTCACCAGGCAATATTATCGCTTATCGCAATAATTTGTGAGACAATTAATCGCCCAGCAAAATTTGTTATCGTGACAGGCCTAGTGATTGTATGAGAGATTATTTATGTTCAGTTAGTAACTTGAAAAAGGTCTGTTTGAAACCAGTTTTAATATTTAGTCTGTTACTCATCTGTCAATTTTTTTCTTTATTAGTGAGCTGAAGAGACGAATGAAAGCAGAGAAGAAAATTGCTGAGAAAGAAGCCAGAGTGAAAGAGCTGGTGGCGCAAAAGGAAGAATCCAATGATCAAGGATCACAAAATGCTTCTGAATTGGATGAGGAGACACTTGACCCCAATGTAAAATATGTTGCATTGTCGCTGTTTCTTAATAACTAAAGCTTTAATTGTGGGGTTTTATATTCACACTTTTTTGTTTCCGTGTTATTCAGCAATACTTCAAGATCCGCTCCCAGGCCATCGACAAATTGAAGGGGACTGTGGAGGACCCGTACCCACACAAGTATCATGTAGACTTGTCCCTCACAGAGTTCATTGAAAAATACAGCCATCTACAGCCTGGAGACCGTCTCACAGATGTTGTTCTCAACGTGTCAGGTAACAAGATGAGTTTATAACAGGCTGCCTTCCTGTCTAATTCAAACAGTAGAYGCTTTGTTAAACTTACTGCACTTTTATTTAGGTCGCATTTATGCCAAGAGGGTTGCTAGTACCAAGCTGATGTTTTATGACCTGCGAGCTGAAGGTGTCAAGTTGCAAGTTATGGCAAATTTAAGGTATTAAATTAATTAATTCACCCATCCATTCTGTACTCGCTTGATTTTGTTTAGAATATCAGCTAGCAGGTGCCTCCTGTCAGCAGTCACTTGGCAAGATGGTGGAAAATTATAACTATTAATAAGTAAACATAAAACTAAAATTTTGTTGGGTTTTATTCTTTAGAAAAAAAGCTTTTTTAAAAGAACGGTCTTGTTAATAAGTGCTTTGTGTACTAATTGCAAGCGCTGCTTACAATAATTGCAAATGTTAAAATATAATATGTGCATTTAAGAAAACAATAAAATTTTCACTCAAATATAAACTTCACAATATTTTATCAATTTCATTTTATTTTTTATATTTCTTGTTTTGTGATTGTGCCTTCCAATGATTCCTCTTCGACGTAGATACATTTATGTACAGAAACTTCATTTTCTGCTTCTGCTTCTCAGGATCTACAGATCTCCGGAGGACTTTATAGCCATCAACAACACACTTCGCCGTGGTGACATCATCGGTGTTCGTGGAAACCCCGGGAAGACAAATAAGGGAGAGCTGAGCATCATTCCTATCGAGATGACCCTGTTGTCACCCTGTTTGCACGTGTTGCCCCGCTTCCACTTTGGCCTCAAAGACAAGGTAATGCCCAACAATTATGTAGGATTTTAAGTTAGTCTTGTTTGCAGTGTCACAAAAACAGACTTTTTAAAAACTGTTWAAAAAAAAAGATGTTTTTCTAACTATAGATTTGGTCACAATGGTTTTTGTTGATGAGATGAGGAAAAGCTTCAGTGAAAATGTTTGGATCCAAGTGGTTTTCTTCACCCGTGTTGTTTTTTTGTCTCAAAGGAAACGCGGTATCGCCAGCGTTACTTGGATCTGATTCTTAATGACTACGTAAGGCAGAAGTTTATAACTCGCTCCAAAATTATCACGTACCTGCGCAGCTTCCTGGACCAGCTGGGCTTTTTGGAGGTAAGACCACATAACAAATAATCTATTAAATATTGCTTTGAAGCTACTAACACAAATTATATAAAGCATGTTTTACCAGTTCATACAATTGTCAAATCTTTGAAACGATTAAAATCGCTGTAAGCCTGTTGTGCTGAATTTGTTTTAGATTGAGACACCGATGATGAACATCATCGCTGGTGGAGCCGTGGCTCGTCCGTTTGTTACTTACCACAACGAGATGAACATGAGCATGTTCATGAGAATCGCCCCTGAGCTTTACCACAAGGTGATCTCTCTGTGTTCCAGCTTTAGGAATATCAAAAACATAAAGCTTTTATAAACTTGTTCTGCATCTTCTACAATGAAATATCTGTTTATTTGTACCACAGATGGTTGTTGTCGGTGGAATAGACAGAGTGTACGAGATTGGTCGTCAGTTTAGGAATGAAGGCATCGATCTCACTCATAATCCAGAGTTCACCACCTGTGAGTTCTACATGGCATATGCTGATTACCATGACTTGATGGAAATCACAGAGAAGCTGCTGTCAGGTAAATTAAAACACATTTCTGTTAATATTGTTGCCCGAGGTCTGTGGTCAAATTTGTATTGCTTCAGTTTGCTCAGAGCTCCACCATATTTGTCACTGAAGATGGTTTTGTGACATCACGTCATGTAATTTGGGTGCAGCGTTTCTCTTAGAACTTTTATATCATCTGAAGGATGTAGTAGTCCTTCAGGTGTGAGTTTGCGTTTCAATATAAACTCACATATAGGCCTGTCACGATAACATGCTGAATGATAAATTGTCCCGATAATATTGTTTGGAGACGATTTAAAACTCRTAACAATCCAAAATTGATAGAACGTTATGGACAGACCGGGAGCGATGTTTATGAAAGCAACACAACAACAGCTACTGAAGCTGTAAAATCACCTTCACTTTGCTTATGGACTTTACCAAATTTACGTAGTGTAAAAAAACAAACTCCGTATCAAAGGTTCGGCACGGTGTCCCAAGGGCGTCCTGAGGCATCGTCAGCTGAAAGATGACGTCAGAAAACTGAAGACACTCCTCTAGCTAAAGGCCTGTTCATGAGACTCTCATGCTACAGACGTTACGAGACCATGCCTCTGGCTAATACCTGACACAAGAAAACACTCCTCCCTACACTAAGGGGTAGAAAAGAGGGAAGACAAACAAACAAGCAGGCAAATGAAATTTAGCAAACCTCATTTGTATTTATCATTCGATGAATTGATTTATTGCTTATCACGACAGGCCTACTAATATATATTCTAGATTACAGAGCCAACAGTACAGTAAAGATTAGAGATTAGATATTTTCTTAAGTTATATATAAGAAGGAAGCTTCTCTTATTGATTTCATGGTTCCTGTAGGAATGGTGAAACACGTCACTGGGGGGTACAAGGTGACCTACCATCCTCATGGTCCTGAGGGCCAGTCTTATGAGATTGACTTCACTCCTCCGTTTAGAAGAGTGAGCATGACGCAYGAACTGGAGAAAATAATGGGGGTTAAGTTCCCTCCTTCTGACAGCTACGACAGTGAYGGTAAATATCTGTGATTGTCTAACATCTGACTCATAGCAGTGGCTTAACTTTGAATATTTCTGTCTGTCACATTTTCCTCTCAGAAACACGCAAATTCTTTGATGATTTGTGTACCCAAAGAGAAGTTGAATGTGTTCCACCTCGAACCACTGCCCGCCTACTCGACAAGGTGCTTCATTGATGAACATAATTGTTGCTGTTTCTACTTAAAAAAATAAATGAATAATGTTTTTTTTTTCTTTTTTTATAGTTGGTTGGAGATTTTCTTGAGGTCACGTGTATCAACCCAACTTTCATCTGTGATCACCCTCAAATCATGAGCCCCTTAGCAAAATGGTTAGAACTGACACTTTTTATTCATTTTAAATCAAAAATAGCGTGCTCATAGTGACACGTGTTCTGCTTTTAYAGGCACCGCTCAGAGAAAGGCCTGACGGAGCGTTTTGAGCTTTTTGTGATGAAGAAGGAGATCTGCAACGCTTACACTGAGTTAAACGATCCAGTCAGGCAGAGAGAGCTTTTTGAGCAGCAAGCCAAGGTGGGAAGTCCTCTTTTCGAAACTTGTATTATGCTCTACAAACAGCAGATTGTGTGTATAATATCTCATACTACTGATTTGGATCTCTTTAGGCCAAAGCTGCAGGTGATGACGAAGCCATGTTCATCGATGAGACCTTCTGCACAGCGCTGGAATATGGTCTGCCACCGACTGCAGGCTGGGGGATGGGCATCGATCGTCTCACCATGTTCCTCACTGACTCCAACAACATCAAGGTAAAGTTGTCGTAAAAATAAAATTTGAACAGGTGCTTAAATGTTGTAATTCTAGCCAGTTGATATTTTTTTTTCTTATTCTAAATATAATGTTGTGAAAGTCGTGTTTTTTGAGCTAGAGATTTCATATAGGCAGGAAATGTTTCATATCTGAGAGTAAATATTGTATTTTTCTATGAAAACTACAGCCTTTATGAAAACCTATGAAGCCCTTGAGTTAGACTTTGGTCGTGTTTGCTTTAGGATTGGTGGGGGTGTTTATATATGACAGTAAATTCTTTGAACTAACTGCTGAACCTCCTGGTTTTGTCAATCATATCTCAAAAAATAAATAGGTTTCTCATCAATTTTTACCAAGTTGCAATCTTTTTGTCTTGGAGAGTTTATAAATAAATCACAAAAACTGAAGGAAGTGTGTCTTTTAAAAAAAYGCAGAGAAATAAACAAACAAAAAATGGGCCGAAATATGACTCGGTGTTTAGAAACACACTGTCAGAAGAAAGTGGGATTTACTTGAGCAGAAAAAAAAAGCTGTGGGCTGCAGGAGAACAGCTGCTGACGGCCATATTTAATGATGAATCATGGACATGATGCAGAAACTTTCCATTTCAGTCTTCAATATGTTTATCATCCAGTCAGACTGTATGAGCGTTTCATATCAGTCGATTTCAATAATTGATTAATCTTTTTGTTTTAATTTCACTCCACGTAATTCTCTTTTTGATTGCATGATTTTTTTGTTTTTTGTTGTGTATTGTTACAAACAAAAATGAATAAATGATTTTTAAAAAAAATTCTCTTTATTTTTAGCAGTTATGAGGCACACCGTCTCCTGTTGTGATTTACGGTCAAATTTAAGACATTTCTTTGAAACTCAGATGATAATTAAACGACCCAGAAAGACTTAAAACTGATATTTTTGTGTTAAGCAGTTTAAACGCTATCAAATTAACATTCTAATTTTCACACACACACACCCACATTCTTCATGTTCATTTTTTTTTAGATTTTATTAGTTTTTATTGTCCTACAGAGGGGAAATAATTCTTATTTGTAACGGTTTTAATCTTTTGCAGGAAGTGTTGTTGTTCCCAACCATGAAGCCTGATGACATTAAGAAGCCCACTCCCTCGGACGACACTTCTGCCCAATGCACTGACTTGTGACCTCTCCTGCTGTCAGATCTTTGCAGTAGTCATGGAAAATAGAAGTTTTTACTTCACTGTGGTCATCAGTGCAGGCTGTTTTATCTGTTGTAGCACATTAAATGTTTTCTGTCTTTAAGGGAAATGGTAAACGGTCATGAATGCTAATCCTTTTTTTTTGGCACTTCTGTCCTCAAGTCAACAGGTGCTATTGGTTTGGTTGTAAGAATTTTAAACCTGTTTGTCCCCAACTCCATAGAAAATCATATTTGATCTGCTGTTACCTGCAAACCTGGATGTAATACTTCTGAGTATACATTGAGCTGCTTCAGGGGTCCTTTACTGTGTACATCATAGTTACAGCCCCTATAAATAAATCCAGCTCCAAGTTCCTTTGTTTGAAATGTTCTCTGTATATTCATGTATTTTTTTAAACCAGGTTTGTTTGGRTTCCTTTTCAAAGATTTTTCAAATTCAACATTTCTCTTTCAAGAAACTTAAGAGAATAATATGTTTAAATAAAAAGCATATTAATCAGGTTTTTGTCATGTTTGTGGTGTTTAAGTACTTGAAAGTTGCAGTATTTTACAATGTTTATAAAAACTAAAAAATGTTTTTTATTAAGATGCAGTGATGCATTGATTGTGTGGATTTAACAATCAAAAGATTAAAACTCTAAAAAAAACTTGACAACTATCGCAAGCGTTATTGGAAATTTGAATTTTTTTCAATGCTGCCTTCACAGATAAATGTTTTTTTATTAGTAGATATGATCAGCTGATATTTACTCACATCTAACAACCATTTTTYCCAGAAAGCTGCTGCTTTCTGGTGGGGTTAAACCTAAAGTTTCAGCTTTGCAATCCAGACTTTCATAACGTTTGGTAGTTTGGGTTGATCACAGTGTTGTATAAAGTGCCTCAAAGTGATACTTGAGTAAAAGTACAAATATCTTATCATAAAAATACTTTGGTAAAAGTTAACATCTAAAAATATTACTTGAGTAAACGTCTTAAAGTATCTGATATTTTTGTACTTAAGTATCAAAAGTAAATTTCTGACAGAAAATCTACTTAAGTTTTAAAAGTAAAAGTACTGAGTAAAAGTGAGCAGTTTTTCCAAAATGACATTTATTGGGAGGTGACTTCTCCAAAAAATATTTTTTCTAACAGCATGCAGCTGTGATGGGTTGTGTACAAGCTAATAGGGTGTCAGAATAGTATATATGTATTTATACTTCTCATCTAACCACAATTAAATTCACTCTATCCAGGAGACAATTTATCAGGATAGCATTTTTAAAGTAATAACTCGGAATAAAATAGGAGTAACGACTTTCTACTTATCTTTTTTTTWAAAAATGTAGTGAGTACAAAGTACAGATAATTGTATAAAAATGTAATGAGTAAAAGTAAAACATAGGCTACGCTGAAAAATAATTAAGTAAAGTACAGACAACCAAAATTTCTATACAGTAACAAAGTATTTGTACTTAGTTACTTTACAACTCTGGTTGATCTTTATTTAAAATGAGCTGAGTGAGTCTTTTTTTTCTTCTCTGAATTCTGAGGGGGAAAAATATCAATTAAAAAAAAAAAAAAAGAAACGAGCGCATTGACCTGTATTGCACGAGCCCTCCTCTTGTCCGCCTCTCATCGTGAATGCGCGCCACAGAAGATGGTGCGCGCTCCCGCTGCGCGGTCAGCTCAGCTCGTTGAAGCAGGCAGCGAAGAGCGCGCGGCCCCCACAGACACCGAACATGGCGATGAGAGCAGCGCTGCGGTGCCTCTCTGCAAACTTTTCGCCCAGGCTGCCTCCACTGTCGTCACCGGCGCAGGTTTCAGCGACGCGGCTGCTGTGGAGTAGCTGCTCCCGGCGGACTCTGACCACCACACCGGCACGGTACACAGGTAAACACACATACAGTAAAAACAAAAAACAAAATTAAAAATGAAATAAATTGCAGGGAGAATAAAGTAATTCACTCCTCACTAACAAGTCCATGCGGGCACGTTTGTGCCTGAGGAGAAGGACAGCTAATAGTTCACTAATAAGTTGAATGCGGTCGAACTGAAACCTACTCGTAGAGCTACACATCATGTTACTTTGACTAAAATGTAATTATAGAATTAAGCTTTTAGAGTGAGAGGCAGAAAGAACAGCAGCAACTCGAGGTCTCGTGCACCACCACGTTATGGTAATCATGTGGTGGAGAATCATGTAACATCACTTCTCCTGCATGTGATTTATTCAGTTTAACCATCACCCAGCTCCTGGCTCTGGTCAATCATCATCATCATCATCATCATTTTGCACACATCACAATCTGCTTCAAGCCTGCAGATTTTTTCTAAGTCTTGTTCTTCATGGTCCAGTGCCAGGCACTGAGGCGTTCCCATCCTTTGTAGAAACACGAGCAAAGTCCCTGTTCATYAGAGCGAGCGTTTGTTTTGACTGGAGTTTTTCTGCACCTGTCAAAGCCGTGATAATCAGAATCTACAAGTACACCTGCAGAGAGTGGGGGGCAGCTTGTTTTGTCCCTACATGGTGTTGCTTAATAAAAAGCTCAATGTCCAGCAGCTGTGCTCCATGGTTCAGTGCACTGCTTGATTTATCAGCCTCACAAGTGTTTTGCTGTGAGACTGACTGGGCTTCTCGCTCCAAGATTGTTAAAAACGTGTGTCGCTCAAAACGTCTAACTTGTCATTATTTAATACTGATTTGTGATTTTCAACGTATTTTAAATATTTAACCCTTGTTTTCCTTGTAGCCCTAAAGTTCACTGAGAAACACGAGTGGGTGCGGGTGGAGGGTGGAACCGGCACTGTTGGTATCAGCAGTTATGCCCAGGTAGGTGTTGTTGCTTTTGTTTCTCTGCTGATTATTGATTTATCAACGCTTTGTTAATAGTTGTACTGACTGCAATCTGAACACAGATGAGGGCTGCACTTTGCTCTCACTGTATCATTGTGATTTTACTGCTTTATGACTATTGTTTTTGTTTGTTTTTTTAATTCGAACAGACATTAAAACAAAAAGAAAAGAAAATGGAATGAAACAAACTTAAGAAATAAAATGTAATACAAATTATTTTGCCCATGTGACATGCAAAATTTTATATTTTCTGTTCGAAAAGGAGCAGGTAGAAGATACATCTTATAATGTCCTGCCCCTTTCCTACTTGTCAATGTATTATCAATTAACTTTCAGAACATCAAAAAGAGAACTTGTTTCCATTTTACATCATGTTTAACTATGTAGAATTATTTTAAGTACTATTTATATCATCAATTACATTATAGACTATTGAACATTATACATCTTATATAGCATATTTTGAAATGAGCTCTGCTTTAATCAGTTTTTTTTAATTGGTTTACGTTTGTAATTTTTTTAACTCATCCAATCCATTCCAGACATTTACTCCACACACTGATAAACAAAAACTCTTCCTGGTTGTTCTAATATGTTGTTTTTTAAAATATCCTTCACCTCTTAAATTATAACCCCCCCTCTCTGTCACCAAACATTTCCTGTATATTGTGTGGAAGTTTTTGATTTCGGACCTTAAACATGAATTGTGTAGTTTTAAATATTACCAGGTCCCAGAATTTCAGTATATTTGATTTAATGTTTAATTGATTACTGCCATGTTGCAGAGGAGGGCAGGTAGGATTTTGAAGGGGCAGACACCTGATGTCAAAACTGTGAATGAAGGCAAGAGCTGTATTATCTTCAGCTTGAATGCAGCTTGTTGAGAAAAAAAATTTTTTTTAGTTTAGTAGGAGAGCTAGTTTTCAATCCCTGCAAAAGTTATCTAAGGCAGAAAAAACAAACTACAGCGGGTAAAATAAGTATTGATCACTTCAACATTTTTCTCAGTAAATATATTACTAGAGGTGCTAATGACATGAAATTTTCACCAGATGTCGGTAACACCCAAGTGATCCATACATACAAAGAAATCAAACCATAAATGTCCAGAAATGAAGTTATTTGTAATAATGTGGAATGGCACAGGGAAAAAGTACTTAACACATACTAGTACTGAAAACTGTTTGGATGCCAGAATACACATCATGTTTGGAGGTCAAATGGCACTGCACATCAGCCCAAAAACACCATACC